AATAATAGAATATGTATCTAGATGAGAGATTGAAAGATGAAGTATAATGATTAAAATTTAATTATTATTTTTCATGATTCACAAAATTAATAAATACTTATCATCTTGTTGAATAATTCTAAAATCATATTCAAGAAATCTTTATAAATTGAAAATTAAACTTCTTTTGGTAAGCTATAGGTATGAAAATATCATAATTTCGATTTAATCTAATTAAATTAAAATTAGTTACATGGATTTCATATCTATTTAATTTACACGACCAAAATAAAAATATCTATTTAATTTACACGACCAAAATAAAAATATCAATTTAATTTATAAAACAGATGGGTTATTTGTGATAAATTTTCTAGAAATCTTTAGAAGCAAGTAAAATATCTTTTAATTAATGATAATTGGCTAAAATGAGCGAAATTAATGACAAAAACGTTAATTGTTATGGAATTAGTCCCAAAAATATATGAACAAATTTATTATACGTAATTAATGTATATTGTTTGGAATATGCTTTTATTATTAGTTACTATAAGTACAATCAGATTTTATTTGATTTCCATAAATATTTGATTTTATTTCAATTTTTCATTATTAATTCGAATTTATATTCCAAAAAAATTTCAAAGATCCGATTTCAGAATTTCGGGTCAATTTTCTGATTTTAACCCTGACCCATTTTCATTTGTACTTCTCTTTTAATAGTATAGAGATATTTGTATATAGATCGATCGATCCCTTAGCACATTTACTCACGAGGAAATATTCTTGGCCATGCGATAGACATTCTGAAAGCGTCTGTGTTTAGGTTCTTCATTAGTTGAATATCTTCCTGCAAACATTTTTCAGATGAGAATATCAACATCTAGTATAAATGGACTATTCAATAAACTATTAGGATATATATTATGATAAAGAATTTCTTCAATCTTTATTAATATATACCTTATAACGATGGAAGAAATCAACAGCCACATCGCCGTTATCGTTATTGCATCTCGCTGAAATATAAAATTAAGAAAAAGTAAAAGATTAGGTAAACCAAAAAATTCTAACTATATAAAGTACATAAGAGATAATGTAGAAATACTAACCTGGATATCTCCTACAGTAGATGTCCCATAAGGCCGGTCCACGACAAGTTTCATTGATTGCACCTTCAACCTAATGACATAACAAAATAGCTTACGTACGTGCTTAGGAAATGATATTTAAAATTATAGGCTAATTTGCTATATATCATATTGTTGAAGTGATGTTAGGTAACTATCATGATACAGATTTCATTAGATAATTAGCAAGAAAAAAAAAAGGATTCAACTATACTGTCTATAAGAATCTTTTTTTTTTTTGAAAAAATCTGTCTATAAGAATCTTGCATGAAAAAAAAAAAAAAAGAATCTTGCATGGTAACATATTATTTTTGTGTGAAATAGTTCATAGATTTTTGTTTATATGTATGTCAAGAAGTGCTCACAGAAACTTATATTGTACCTGGTATGCCGCAGTAGCCGTGCCAAATAAAAAACCTTCAGGGAAACTTGCCCGACTTAGTTTGGTCGACGGCGGGCAAACAGGTCCATCTGCATTTGCTGGAGAGGCGACGATGGTTAGGAGCAAAAGCAGCCCAACGAGAGGAAGCTTTTGCAAAGCCATTTTTGTTTGTAATTAACTTTCTGATTTTCTTCAAGATAAAATGTTTAGGATGGTTCTTTTACATAACAAAGACGTTCTTTATATAGTGATCTTCGTTCAATTATTGATTTCTCTTTATGGTTTTTTTAATAATATACCCAGCCAGGCCATATTGATCATTTTTTTTTTTTTTTTTTTTTTTTTTTGTCGGCCAACTTTTCATTAATATAAGAAACTTAGTACTGCATACAACTTAGTACTCCCAAGAGATAGTAAAAGGGAGATTTTGGCTTCTAGCCGTTTTAGCTAGTAGATCAGCTACACTGTTATCATTTCTACAAATAAACTTGAAAGCAAAAGAGTTCAGAGATAAAGCTATAATATCATCCAGATATGATTGAATTTCCAAGCAACCAGGAACAGAATGTGGCATCTTCTTTATCTTCTCCAGATGGCAATAGAGGAGCATTGAGTCACCACAGAAGGTAACATCCACGTAATTAAGACGTCTGAGATGAAAAAGTGCTTCTTTAAGCGCCAAGGCCTCGGCCTCCAGGGCAGAAGTAACTGGAGCGACAGAGGAGAATCCTCTAAGAACACGACAGCCCTGTGGATTATATAGAATCCACCCAATACCTGCCCGTGACTGTGAATCAAGCCAGGAAGCATCTACACAACAAACAAAGGAAGAAGTATGGTGCATTATTTCTTGGAGAGCAGTAGCCTTTGACTTTCCATGTTTCAGGAGAGATATATTAGGAGTAGCCTGGGAATCTGTCCATAATTTAAAATCCATCATGGCATTATGAATAATCTCAGGGATAGCCCATCTTTTGTTGTTAAAGAATAACTCATTTCGAGCTTTCCATAATCTCCAGCCAATAAATGGAAAAAGGTACTCCTTAGACTTAGCTTGGTTACTAAACTTGAATAGATATTGCATTATATCATCAAGCAGATCTCTACTCTCCAACTGACCTGGCTCAATATGTAGTGGTGACAATTCCCACACTTCTTTTGCAAAACGGCATTGAAAGAGAAGGTGGAGGATTGATTCTTGTGCATCACCACAGAAAATACAATCTGGTATGACTTTGAGTCTCCTGCTAGCAAGGTTATTAGCTACTGGAAGAGCATTATGCATAACTCTCCACCAAAAATGTTTGATTTTTGGTGGGATATTTAATTTCCAAAGCTGCTTCCATATAGTAGTCATTGTAGGATTAGGCAAGAAATGCTCTGTACCTGGCTTAGTTAATTGATGATAACCAGATTTGACACTGTATTGACCATCCTTAGTAAAGATCCAGGTTGGAACATCAGGTGCCTTGAATTGCCTTAAGCGAGTACTCTTAATAATTGGTATATCTTCAGGGTGCACTCTGTCATGAAGCTTGGTGTCATCCCATTCATTTAGATCAGGCTTCATGAGATCTGAAACTAGAAAATGATCAGTGGTAGAAGAAGGTAAACCACGAGCAGGTCTAGGAGGATTACTAAGCCATGGATCATGCCAGGCCTTAATCGTATTTCCATCTCCTACACTCCATTTTAAACCCTGCTTAATAAGCTGCATACCCTGCAAAATGCTTCTCCATGCATGACTTGGACGATATCCAGGCTTTGCCTCCATTAAAGAGGATTTGGAGAAGTACTTAGCTCTTAGGACTCGGGCAAGCAGTGATTGTGGTTCCTTTAGCAGCCTCCAACCTTGTTTAGCCAACAACGCTGTGTTAAAGAGGTTTAAGTCCCTGAACCCCATTCCACCATACTGCTTCAAAGTAGTCATTCTGCGCCAAGCAATCCATGGAATCTTTTGCTTTTCCTTGATAGTGGACCACCAGAATCGTCTTATATGTCCTGTAATTTGAGAGAGGAGCTTCTTAGGCAGTATAAAACAGGACATAGTATATGTTGGGAGAGCAGTAGCTATAGACTTTATCAACACTTCTTTCCCAGCCAATGATAAAAAATTTGAATACCAACTTTGAAGCTTTTGCTGAACTCTCTGGGCAATGAAACCAAAAGTATCACATTTATTCTGTCCTACTGCCTCAGGCAACCCCAAGTACTTGCCAAAACTTCCTGTTTTTGCAATACCTGTAGCAGTGGTAATGTGTTGCTGAGTTTCAAGAGTGACAGTCTTCCCAAATAGTATTGCAGACTTTTGAAAATTAACGTATTGGCCTGAAGCTTTCGCATAAGCATTGAGTATGGAAAGAAGTTGTTGGCATTCCGCAGCATTAGCTTGACAGAAAAGTAATGAGTCGTCAGCAAAAAGCATATGAGAAATGGCTGGTCCATTGCAACTAGCTTTGAAGCCATGAATAGCATTTGTGTTCATTGCATGAGTAAGAAGGGAAGAGAGTCCTTCAGTGCATAAAAGATAGAGATAAGGGGAAATAGGGTCACCTTGGCGCAAGCCTCTAGATGGTATGATCTTCTTTGTTGGTGAACCATTAACAAGCACTGAATATGTTACTGAAGTAACACACTTCATTATCCATTGACACCATTGATCTGCAAAACCAAGTCGTCTTAATATTTTTTCAATATAATCCCACTCAACTTTGTCAAAAGCCTTTGCAATATCAAGCTTCAAAGCCATATATGGGTTTTTAATTTTCCTGGTACGCAATGAATGTAAGAGCTCATGAGTAATGATAATGTTATCAGTTATAAACCGACCAGGGATAAAAGCAGACTGGGATTCTGAAATTATATAGTGAAGCCATGGCTTAAGTCTGTTTGCTAAAATCTTTGAGATGAGCTTGTACGCTATGTTGCATAAACTAATCGGCCTGAAGTCTTTCACTTTAGTAGGGGAATCAATTTTTGGAACAAGGCATATGTAGGTATGGTTCATTTCAGGATTCAAGTACCCAGTTTGAAAGAAAAGTTTTACATAATTGATCAAACCTGACTTTATGGTTTCCCAATGGTACTTGAAAAACCCCGCTGTGAGTCCATCAGGGCCTGGCGCCTTATCAACATTCATTTGAGAAAGAGCTTGAAAGATTTCTTCCTCCGTAACAGGAGCAGTGAGCTGCTGGTTCATAACTGCAGTGACTTTGGGCTGGATATGTTGGAGAACTAGGTCGAGATTTTCACTGCCAGAAGAAGAATAAAGGTTAGTAAAGTATGTTCGTATAATGTTCTGAATATCTTTATCAGACTGCTGAACATTGCCATCATCATCCTCAAGGGCAGTGATACGATTATAACTTCTTCGTTGCTTAGTTTTGGCATGAAAATACTTGGTGTTTTTATCACCAGCCTGCATCCATAATACTCTGCTCTTGGTTCTCCAATATTCTTCCTCCGATTTGTACTCCTGCTGTAATTTTTGTTTTAAGCTTGTAATGTAATTAAAATCAAGGGAATGAGAGTTATACGCTTTCTGAAGTGCTTCATGAAGCTGCTGGATCTTCTGGTGAGAGTTATTGGCGTGTTCTGACTTCCAAGAAGAAATACTATGCCTGCACTTCTTAAGAGCTTCTTGAAATTCTTGTGGAGGTAGCATTTTGCATTTTTGATCCCAAGTACTTTGGAGAGTCAGCTGCAGTTCTCTATTATTTCTCCAGCGATTGTCATAGCGAAATAATTTCCTACCCCTCCATTTGTTGTCATCTGTAATCAACAACAACGGTTTATGGTCAGAACCAACCCAGTCTAGAAGCTGGACTCGAGCTTTAGGGAATTTATCCTTCCATTCTGCAGTGGCCACCACTCTATCAAGTCTGGATTGAATAGTACCAACACTACGATTCCCAATCCAAGTGAATATACCTCCAAACGTTCTTATCTCATGAAGCCCAGAAACATTTAGCATCCTTCTGAAATTTAGAAATTGCCATTCTGGCCTAGGTGGTCCTCCAAGCTTCTCCTGGTTGTTTTTTATCTCATTAAAATCACCGAGAACCACTCTAGGCTTGCTTTGGTAAAGACCTCCTCTAACTAGATTTTCCATCTTCTGCCACATGTACTGTCTTGACTTTCTCTCAGGATTACCATACACATAGGTAAGACAAAAGGTAGATTGGCCTTCAGTAATGTACATATCTGTGTAATTTAGAGTAGGAGAGGAGAGAATATCACACTGCACCGTACTCCGCCAAAAGATAGCTAACCCTCCACTTAGACCATCAGGAGAGACCAAAATTTGATGATCAAAATGGAGATCCGTACCTAGTTTCTGTACATAGTGATCCTTATTTTTCGTCTCCACGAGGAACATGATATCAATCTTATGTCGACGATTGATATCCTTAAGATATGGAATTGTCAAGGGGTTCCTCAACCCTTGGCAATTCCAATGCAAAATTCTCATTCTGGAGATGGTGGTTTCGGGGTATCCACCTCCCCTTGAATTCTCTTGTTAGAAGTCGAAGCCTGTTCTGCATCAGCGGAGTCATTAACCTTTCTCTTGGTTCCTCTGTTCTGTCCAAACACTGAACCTACACCCATTTCCTGAATCTCAAAAATAGCATTAACTGTATCTTGGACTTCACTTGGATGAGTAAACTCCATGTCTTCTCCTTGAGAATTATTCTGATCTTGATTTTCTGACACCTCCATATTCAGATTGGACCCTACTGTTTCTCCCATTGTATCATTAGCACCTTCAGTAGGGGTATATGGTTGGTCTACCATGTGATGCGCAACAGGGACAGGGATTGGAGGTGGTAACTGCAGATGCTCTGCTTCTTGAACTTGGAAGTTACAATGTGTAGCAAGATGGTTTAGGCCTCCACAGGTAGAACAGAATCTACGGAGTTTATCATAAACAAATCGAATTAGCACTGGCGGTCGAGAATCATCCAAGTTGAAGTAGCGAGCAAAGAGTAACCGATCATCGACATCAATTGGAACACGGACCCGAACTTCCCCGACTTGGTCTGCAGATGGTTGCTGTATATGAACCTCATCAACATGACCCAACACTCCACCAACTTCACGAATCACGCTGTCACTCTTAGAATCATCAGGAAGGTTCAGAATTTTTACCCAAAAGCGGATGATACGAAGGAAATCCGGGTAATTTCGACGGGTCCAGCGATCAACTACAACAAGCCAGTCTTTATAGGTCCATGGCCCGTTATCAAGAACTGTGAGAAGTTGGTGTTCATGCCTGAAGAAGAATTGGACAGATCCATCATCATTAATTCGACTGGTAACACGACCTTCCAATTTCCAAATCTTTGGCATCATCACCTTAATTCCAGCTGGATTTTGAGAAGGATGCAGCCCTTGAACAACAAGACTAAGCCGGTGTTCAGCATCTCGCCTGTTTTTAGCATCGTTTGAGATCTTTAAAGGGCTATGCTCCAAGCCAAGGTTCAGGTTTTGAAGAGATATCCACAACTCCTTGTCTGCCATTGACATATGTCTCAGATCCGTTGAAACGGAAAGAAAATCCGAGCTCGCCGGAAAAGGAATCACCGGAAAAGTGAGTCGGTGAAGAGAAATCTCGAGGGTTCTAGAGAAATCGCCAGAAAGTTACTGTAGCTGCGCAAACTGTAATTTTGGATTTGTCCCTAGATGATGATCATTTTTTTAATTTTCTATTGTGTATATATCAAAATATCGTGTTTTATATCATATCCTAATTATTACTGCGTACATGGATATTGACGTTATAGGTTGTATATTATTTTCTTTCACTTTTTTATTTGACTAAACTATTGGAAAATTATTATATTTAAATCGGATGCTTTATTTGCATGGTCTAGACTCCAGAGATCGTTGTATTACTTTAATTTTTTTTAAATTTAGAACATATAATATTCCGCGTGTCCAACGAGTGTACATATTAAAATGTGAAATTTATATTATTTTAATTAATAATATCCTTAATAACATTTAATAATAAATCATAAGTCATATCGAATATGGTTGCCCGATTTTCTACAACTCCTATAATAAACAGTATATTGTTTTTTTTTTCTCTTTTTTTCTTAGGGTCAAAGACCACGGTCCGTGGCTATATTTTTTTTTTCAAATTTCCAACATATAATATTATCTCGTGGTTAACGAGATATAATTTAATATGCAATGATATCGGATCATCCATTCAGTGCTGGTCCGAGCATTTGTGAGGCCCTACACGAAAAATAAAATGAAGCCCAATATATTTATAAGTTTTAGGGCTAAAATTTTTTTTTGACCTATTTTTAATAAATTATACAAAAATAATGATATTTTGAATATTATTACATTCAAATTTAATTGTTTGGGCCCTATTTTATTTATTTTTTTCGAAAAAGACTTTAGTTTTTACCAAATATTTTCATTTTATGGACCTTTTTACCAAAAAAAAAAAAAAAAAACCTTATAAAAAAAAAAAAAATTGTGGTGCCCCAAGCCACCGCTTGGGTGGCCTGTCTTGCGGGCCGGCCCTGCATCCATTGAAGCAACATGTTACCAACTATGGTTGTCAACACTTGGAAGTTGGAACCATGGTTGAATAATCTCATAGCATAATTCCCAATTAAGACATGTTTATCAGTTATGGTGGTTAACAGTTGGAACCATGGTTGTATCATCTCAGAGCATATTTCCCAATTAATACATGTCTACCAATTAAGCTGTTGCTTAAAAATGTATTAATGTTATTGAACAAGGGTGAGCGACACCACTCCTCTTTATGTGGATACTGATACACCTTTAATTTCCATATCACATGTTTCAGCTTCAGTCTAGAATTTTCAGATAATATAAAGAAGAAAAAAAAGTCAAAAACAATATTAAACTGTAGTACTGAATGAATCTTTTTTGTAACTTTTTTAAAATGAAGTTATCTTTTGATGTAATATGAATTTGACTAAATGCTCATGTATTATAAGTATACTAAATACATCAATTACTGAAATATATAACATTCTATATAAACTTTAATAATATTGGAAATAATTGAATATTTTGAACAACATTTTGCAATATTTTTTCTGAATATTATTAGATATTCACTATTTATTAGAATGTTTAAAATGTATTTATACATCTTCCGTTTCTTTTGCCTGTATCAGTATGTGTGCTTTCCAAGAGAAAAAAAAAGCTACAAAAAGTCAACGACTCTGTTTTCTACACAAGGAAAGATATTAAGATTTGATCATTTTCTTTTTGTTCAATTTTTCTTGTTATACACTAAAAGAATCCCAATATTCAAATTAAAAATTATAACCTATGAAATTGAAGAGGAAAAACACTATATCAAAATTAAAATTATAACACGATGGTAGAAATCACAGTGGCCACATCCTCGTTATGTCCACTGCATCTGACTGAAATTTTATTATTTTTAGCAAATATAAACTTAAGAGATGAATTAATCAGATAAAAATCCATTAATAAGAAGTCACGAGTATACATTTCGGCGAGAGACATACATGAATATTTCCTACAGTAGATGTCCCACACGCTCGGTCCTCTATAAGCTTCTTCTACGGCTCCTTCAACCTAAAGAACATTAAGAAATTAGCAGAGAGCATACATTTTGGTTGGCAAAGGCTCAAACCAACGATCTTTAGCTAAGAAATGGTTTTGAAGTCTAACCAAAATGGTTATACAGAAAACAAAAGTAGTCTAATAGGTGAAAGTCTTGGTCCTTTTTGTTTCGACGTCGCTAACCGCAACAAAGAATCGTTTATAGAGTACTGTTTTTATATTATCAGTATACTGACTATTAGACTTTTCAAATGATATAAACTTTTAACATTTTAAAACTAATCACCAAAATGTGTCGCAACAACGAGTCCTACCTAAAAGAACTTAGAATCCTAGCTAGTCACTCAAGTTGATACACTTAGTTGCAGTGGCGAGTCCAAAAACAAATTTCATTAGGGGGGAGGAATGGTTCGAATTTGCTTACACCCACACCACAGCATGTACAAAAGAATTAAAGATCCACTAGGGAAAAAGACTGATTCTAACCAATTATTCCAATTGTCTCTCATAATTACATATATAGACAATCAAAGTTTGATGTGGAACTTGCTCCCACATCAAACGTGTACATCCGCTCTTGCTTGGTTGCATGTAAAACAGTAATATATAAAGTTATCTAATATAATTTTAAGGTATAGTAATTTGTTGCTAAGGAATCTGATATAATTTAAGGAATATTTCTATCGCAATTATGTAATCGGTTAGTTTTAAAAGAGAGAAATATTTGCATATTTACGGCTCTAACGTGAGAGAGAAAGAAAGGCGGTTTGCATGTGTTGTTAATTATAGTAATTTTACACCATGCCAAATCGAAAATTTAACACTGGTTTAAATCGTTCACTCGGTATTTTATTGGTGGACGGTGGGATCTTCCATTTCCTTAATTTCTTAAAACATTTTTATTATATTAAAATACCATGCGATCCACGTTAGTAGTTTTATTATATTAAAAAAGGTCGTGTAATAATTTACAGCGAAATTGATAGCATGACCATCTGAAGGATCGATCCATCATCTTGCCTACAACTATAGGGGACCAGGGAATTAATCGGCAGATACTGCTCCGCTAAATGATTTCATAACACAAACGTCGCGATGCTCAATTTATTTCATAAGCTTCATTTTTATCTGGGGACTCATTTCTTCGTATTAAAAACTCTTCATTAGAAAACTTATAATATGATAAATATATATTTTCTTTTACCAAAAATAAAAATAAAAAATAAATATGTATTTGGTTTGTGCTGATGTTATTATCTAGATTCAGATGTGACATAATATACTTGTTGGTGAAAAAGAAGAAAGACCGTTAAGCGTTTCTTTTCTTTATTTCTATCGTGAGATTGTAGATCCAATCTTTTGAGTATTACAAGAAGATATTGGAAATTGTAGATAGCATGGTGCTAATGTGTTCCATCAATGGCTCCTTCTATCATTAAATGTCCACTACGTATATAATTTGAATTAATATTTTGAACAAAAATAAATATATATAGGAAAAACTTTTTAAGTGGCACTGAGAATGGCAAGTAGACATAAATCTATTCTTTTAAAAAATTGATTAGTAACAGTATAACAGAGCCGATAATTTATTTTAGTCACAGATCCGATATCGCCTGTAGTGAAAAGTGAAAACATTAACGTACCTTTATCCATCAACCACTCGTCGTTTCACTACAATTTCAATAATCTAGTTTTTTTTTTTTCAATAATTTTTAGTGTTGAACCAGCTTGATTTGTTTTCGTCACCACTTTTGAGTCTAAATAAACAGATAAAGGTATCTAAGTAAACAGATAAACTATATTTTCCCCAAATTGAGCAATAATTAAAAACTTTCTTCTATTACCAAACAATCAATTACGACGGTCTTATTACGTTTAATTAGATGTAACACTTCCAAACATGGCCTTCAAAACAGCCACGAGCTTCTCCTTAGGCGGCAAGACTTCCTTAATAAAGTCATTTCCCACGAAATCTTCCGACCAACGTTGAAGTTTTGGAAACTCCTCCGCGGTCATGATCGTGACGCCTGAAGCTTCTTGGAAGATCCCCAACCAATATCCTATGAAATCAGCCGCTATATCGACAAATCCAATTGTCTCTCCTCCGAAAAAAAGTTTATCTCCAAGCACTTTTTCTAAACATTTCAAACACTCATAAGCCTCTTTCACTTCTTTTTCTCTTTCACTCTCCGGTCCCCAACAAGCCTTCTTCACTGCTAACATTACCTAAAACCCAGAGACCAATACAATGCTCTTTAAGACATGTATCTTGAATCTTGATATTACGTGATACTTTGATATTCAATTCAAGATTCATTATATAAATCTCAAACCTATAATATAATTTAATTGTAGTATTAAGAATAATTAGATCAACATGAGTTTACCTTGTCATCCACATACTTAGCCCAAAAACGGGCCATGGCACGTTCATAAGGATCTTGAGGCAATATCGTGTGACTTGTCTTCCACGTATCTTCGATGTATTCGACAATCACCAAAGATTCAGCTATCGATCTACCATTGTGGATGAGGACAGGGACCTTCTTGTGGACAGGGTTGTACTTGAGAAGCATAGGGCTCTTGTTACCATAAACATCTTCTTCAATGTACTCATAAGGTATGCCCTTAAGTTTTAGGGCCATCTCTACTCTTTTACTAAAAGGACTTCCCCATAACCCCATCAGCTTTACTTGCTCTTCTTGGTTCATCTTTCAGGTTTAGAGAAAACTTACCCTGTTTGGCTTTCCTCTTGTGTTTGTTTTCTTGAACAATGCTGGTTTGCAGTTATTTATTGTCACTTTGGATTTGGTTAAATGCATGTATGAAGAATACTTTGTCATATAAGAAAAGTAAAATAATGTTGAGAATAATAAAATAAATAATAATTGGTCAACTTTTTGACTCTAATGGAGGGTAGTGGTTGAGTACCATATATATGTGCTGTAATTTAATTACTAAATTTTTTTTTTTTTTTTAAATTACACAATTGAGGGCGATAGCCGATAGTATATACGTAATATATAGCACAGCCTATTTATTTTGTGTAAGAAAATTAAAATAAAAAATTCTTTCATAAGTAGTCATGATAGCTTTTGCTTCTAATTACATAATCGCTTCGTAATTGAAGAAAAAATTATTTAGTATTATTATATACTCCGTATTAAGGGAAAATTCAATGATACCGACAGCTTTTGACGGATTCAAATCTTTTATATTTATGTTTAGTTTTTTTTTGTTGCGAGGGATTACGTAAGCAATTACGTTCACAAATCACAACTGTGGAAGAAACTGGTCTCTCTAACCGGAATTTTCAAAACAGGCCATCTTCGCTAGGCCCAATAGTAATGAATATTGAATAATGAATAGTTTAACATCTGTAACTTTAGAAATCCCTGCGAAAGACCCAAAGCCTCAAACTAAACTAGGATACGCAATTTGATTGGGCTGATTTTAACCGAAACCTATTGGGCCCTTTTTGAAACCCAATTGAACCGAAACCTATTCGGCCCCTGTTTTAGTAGATAACATTTTTGTATTTTTTGTTTTTGTTTTCCAAGTTATATAAGCTTTGATTAAATTTTGTAAACAATTGAGTTGTTTATTTGTTTTTGTGTTACCAAAACATATAGTTCACTTAATTCTATATAATTGATTCATTTGATGAAAATAAATGTTAAATTATAATATTTGAATGTAAGATATAAATATATAATTAATGTCTTAACTTGTATGTCCGTTTTTTTCAAGATTTTATTTGAATTTGATAAATGCATTGTTTCTGTCCAGGTTATTTAGATGACATTATAGTTTTGCTTTCACTAAAGTCAGATCCGATCCTAGGTTCGAGCTGATTTATTATTATTATTATTTTTATAAAAGTTTTACCGTATGTCACTTCCTCTATTTGATTAGTAGTAGAATTAGCTCTAAAATTTGAACTGACTTGGGAAATAAACAGAGAATATACGAGGAGAATGAAGCTCAATTTATATAACTAACTACGAAGAAGACAAAAAAAAAATAAAACAAAATCATTTTACATCACAAGAAAAAAAAACAACGAAAAAATTTACAAAGATTTACGAAAAGTCAAAATTAAACTAACACCTTAGGCGTCTCAGTCTCCTTTTCATCATAATTGGGTTTGTGTTTCCTCGTAGCCCTTATATAGCAAAACACCACCACAAGAAACGTAGTCGCTAAGCCTCCGAGAATAACTCCACCGCCGGCGACCGATCTTTCCACCGTGGAATGGTGATGGCCTCGCCGTACAGTCTCTTCCAAATGTGAAACTTCTGGTGCTTCTGCCTCCGCTCCTGGCCAATCGTGCCTTCCGAGTTTCCTTGTTGTTGGAGGCTCAGCTTCCGATGAAGCTGCCGCCATGGACAAGGAGTACGTTAGCAAGAAGCATAGAACTATAAGTTTTGTATCCATTTTAGGGTTTTGGGTGATTAAACTCTCTGTTTTCTTGTCTTTCTTGGTTTGCTTGGAGATGATTGTGTTAATGGAGTTATATATAGGTCAATAGTTTTTCTTAGGATTTTTTTTTTCCTCTTGAACAATTTTCCTTTTGTTTTTATGGGGAGACTAGAGAGATCGTGTGGTGTCATATGGAAATTTCCGAGTGTTACGTTTCCGGGAAAATCGGGTAGATACACACTTAGAAATGAGCCCGAAATATGATTTTAGTTTAAGTTTTTTGATAAAGAAATTAATTTTCTTTGTGTTCTTCAATAGAGCTGTCGGGTTGGCCGGAGGAATCATACGGGTGTACACGTGAACTGGAATTAAAAATATTACAAAATTTAACAATTCATTCCAAAAAGTCTACATTGTACTGATATGTATAATATATACACGTACTCAATCATCAAAAGGATTCCAGAAACTTTGCTAAAACAGTTTTAGAACATCATCTTATTATTATTTCTCAAATTAGCATTTCTGAATATTTTAAACGATTCATAAATTATGTTTCATATTTTAGAATTTAAAGATACAAACCCTTTGAAAAATTAAATTTTACAGAATGAATTATACTAACATATATATAGAAATCCGATTAATATTATGTAGTTTTTAGCTTATCGAAGAATATCTGTAAAGGGTGTTTCTAAGGAATAATTCTTAGAATTTAGAGCTTAGTCTGTGTAATATCTTCATAATTTTTTTCTAAATAACTATTTTTGAGGTATATATAGCTACTTTTTCATTCAAAAAAATTCAAAGTTAAAGCTTATATATAGTACACTAAATTTATTTCCTTCTACCTCTTAAGATAAAATTAATATGATTTTTAAAATGACATGAATCAATTGAACCAGTAGATCTAATATGAAATATCTCAGATTCCAAAAATATGGCGATACATATGATCATCGGCCGGAAGTCAGTTTTCTGCTAAATTGAACATTAATATTTTAGAAGTTCAAACAAACAGATTTACGGATTTTTGAGGAGTCTAAATTGAAACTGATTTTTAAGTAGGAAACCATATTAGATTAAACATAGTAAATTTTCTTATATAAGTGAATCAAAGACAGCGAGATCTATGATGTGTTTATATGTAAAGTTTGTCTGAGATGTGTTTTGATTATAGTAGGAAGTGAAGCTACTTTGTCTCTAGGCAAAGACCAAGGTGGTCGGGAAGTAGCTTCCTCTTTGTTTTGTATTTTATTATAGTTTTCGAGATTTTGGTGTTAAAATAAAGGAAACAAAAAACTGGTGTATATATAGTGACAACTTGTGTATGTATCAGATGTAAAATATATGTAGATGGGAAAAAAAATCGATTAATAGTTAGAATTGATAAGTTTTAATTAATCTATTATCTATATTTGAGGTTTAGAAACATTGCTAATTAGCAATGCCAATTCTGTCAAGTCATGGGTTAGACAAGTTAAGATTTGAGTAAAGAGCAAATGTTAGTGTATATATGGTACTTTTAATTTGTGGTGTAAGTGTATGTGAAAGAATATATATATGTCCACATATTATTATTATTTCATGTATGTGTACGAGCATGAGTATGATTTGGGTTAGACTGGTTAGTAGGTGCTCAATAATTTTTATCTTTCAATGCTACTACATCTTGCTTGTCTAGGTTTAAAACTCCCATATATGAAAAGTGGAGTCTAAAAAGACGGAGTCCCTTTCAGAGATAAGCCCAAGCTCACATTATTTGAGCCCAAATTCGGATTAAACACGTGGTTAATTTGGTTTGATTTGAGTATCACACAAATGTAAAGCTCTCGGCTTTTGAAGAGCCCGTGAGAGCAAAACAAGCAAATGTTGCTTTTGTAGTTAGAGAAATTAATTAAAGAAATAGATCATTAATTATAGAATTTATTCTCATAACCCTTTCTCATGATTAGCCTACTATTTTTCTTTGGATGCCGACAGCATCACAGCAGGTAACTTTATTCTATTTACAAAAAAAATCGGAAATTTCAACCTTTGAACTGTTATATTTGTTGTTGATATTATGATGCATCTCATGGAATGACAAACAATACATTTTCCTAAGAAATTAAGCAGGCTTTCCCTATAAATTTTACTTAAAAAACAAAAATGGTTTCCCTATATATGTACTAACAAACTAATAAATCAATAATTGTGAGGAGAATAAATAATAATCCGAGGGAAGATCTCATTGGCATACAAGGCACAATAAGAATAAGCAAGAAAAGGCAGTCAAAAGAAGTCGAATATTATTTGTCTGTTAAAAAGCATAATCCTAAGTTCCCATCATTGGCTCATAGAGAACAAATAATCTTTCTCTAATGATTTGATGTCTCACACTCACTACTTTTGCCTTTAACACTTTATATTAGTGCTTGCGCCAAAAAAAAACTGCGAATGAAGTGGTTGTAATTTGTGGTTTCGTTAGATTGGTCGTTTGGTCGACAGAAAAACAATAGATACAAAACAGTAGTAACTCGATAACTAGCTAGTATGGGTTCAGGTCCATGCAAGCACAGTTTTGCGGCATTCAATTGCTGAGATTTCTTTTTTTTTTTTTTTTTTTTTTTTTTTGTTTTGTTAAAGAAATTGCTTAGATTTCTTGATCAGTTTTGTTAGGAATCTCATGTCGCAACAAGAGGAAACCTAAAATAACACATAACGAATAATGTAAGTTAACTGATAAGGGCACGTCCAACGTGCGCTTCTTAATAGAAGCTTTTACGATTAAAAATAATAATAATTAAAAGTTATTAAAGAGATGAGAGAGAAGTTCTTAAAACTCTTATTTAAGAGTCAGTAGTAAAAACGAAGATGACACATGTAACTTTGTTAGTGTTTATCTGTATTAAAAAATTAAAATATAATTGTAGAATTAAAATATTATTATTTTTTGCTTTTTGAAAAACTCTTACATTCTCAGCCGTTGTAGATGCTCTAACATATTCACCATATAAATTCATGCATCCCCGGATAATTTACGTTTTAATCTCATAAATTCATGCAATAATTAGATTTAACTATTTCATTAATCAATACCATAAAATTTTGCAGTACAGATTCGACATCACATCAATCCTACACATAGATATAGCTCTAAAGATTTATCTAGTACGATCATAGTAAACAAAAATAAAGCTAAGACATACCAATACACATGACAAAACATGAACACCACGATTTTGTGTTTTTCACTAGAGCATATGTTCTCATAGCATTAAACCTTTCGAATAAGCATCTTCTCGATACTATTTAACCTCTAGAGGCTTATAAATTCTCACATTTCCCTACTGACTTCTCACCCAATAAAATTAGAAGAAGAAGTGAAGAACGATACATAAACCATGCTCACGCAAGAACTTGCATCATGAGGGGTGACGATGATGAGTATTGGTGAGGATCGGGTAATCTGCATCCTGAGGTTTAAAGCTTAATTTAAGCAGAAAATTTGTATACGCATATACGTATGTGTGTTGGTATAGCTTTTAGTCCTCGGGATGCGGATTACCTCTTCCTTACTTACAATACGTACTCGGAGACACGATTACTCATCATCTAGAGGTTAGTTTTTCCTCTTCTTCTTTTAAGTTTTAGCATCATGACTAGATATTTAAGACTGAATATTTACCACATAGACATTTGAATATAATGATAGTACTGTATTAAAAATTAGAGTGGGCACATGCCAAAGTGATAGTACTGTATTAAAAAATACTCCCCAAAGTGAAATTAATTTAAGTAGGTCACACTTGTAATAGGTGACTTATGATTATTTCATACTAATCAAAGTTTTTTTCGTCAACATACTAATTAAAAAATTTAATTAAAAAAGTTCAATTAATGACTCATTTCAGGAATGCTCGAAATAATGGCAACGACGCTTGTGTATCTTTGAATTAGTGATATAATTTTTTCATTTATACTTAAACGTAACTCTAACTAATACGCCGTGTATTTATCTTTTTGTCTAGTGAATAAAAAAAATCACGACGACATACTTTTATCTATTGCTCAAGGGTCGTCCATTGCCTTTGACAAATATGTTTGGACTTGTGATTTCTACTATTCTATTAAATTAGTTAACTGTGTTTATTAAATTTCAGTTAGGTGACTCATACAAATAAAACATAGATTTAAGTTATATAGTATAATGATGTACATAAAAATTCAAAAGTACTATGGATCTTGCTTTAAAACCGAGTCAGTTAATTATTTGAATATTTTAATGATCTTGTATATTTATTCAGTTTTCATAGATGTCGGATACTGGAATAATTGTTGATGATTTCAGGAAAAGCACATGTTAAAATAAGGGAAAATAATGCTAATAACAAAAACAAAGCTAGTGATGTGTATCAAATTACTAAAGTACTAATTGTGTAAAGACAAAAACAAAACGCCAAAATGCTGTGTTGTACCCTTTTTGTCAACTGCGTATCTATTTTTTTTTAATATAAAAAAAAAACTAAGAAATCTCTAAACCTAATTATTGAGAGTAAAAAATAAATCAAAGAAATAATCAAATTTCACTGAAATAAATTGTAATGATCAAATACATTTAAGCATTAATTTTTTTGTGCATTTTTGAAAGGCTGCTGATCTTTGTCTTTTTTTTTTTGTTCGTGCAAAGCTGCTGATCTTTGTTATTGTCTCATATGTAAGTGGTTAGCATAGAATAATATTAATTTCTTGAACATACATTGTATATTTTGGTGACCATATACAACTACTTACATCGATCTTAAAAGAAGTACATATACTTAAGTAAACATATCACAAATCATATATCCGATAACTTAATTTATTTCATATTAATGATGAAAAAATGTAGAAAGGGAAGTATTGTAATCGTAAAATAGAAAAATTTGTTAGATTTTTTTTTTTTTTTTTTTTCTAGTGTTAGACTGTTAGTTGGGAACTTGCGATAATGTTTTCAGATTTTTATTTTTAGTTTATTTTTCCCATTATTTAAGTGTATAAATAATTTTTAACTATAAAAGAATAAATTATTCATGTAATGACATAGAAACAGTTGTTTTCACTTTTCTTGTTTTGTCTTGGTGCCGTGGTAGATTTTGATTATAAAATTAGAGTGTTGATTAAATTATATTTGCCAAAACAAAATAAACAAATAAAGAAGCACGAGTTGACCAATTCATTTCTTGATGGAAAACACTGATCTCTTCTCTTCTATTCTTTCTTCTCTTATGCGGAATTTTCACAATCTTTGATCATCTTTCTCTTTATTCTACGGAAGAAATCCAAATATTCAATATATGGAAAACATCAAAAACCCTAAAAACGCAGATGATTGTTCCGATAGCATATCAAAAAACAGTCATCAGGGCGTTGATGATTCCCTGAACCAGTCAAGATCTTACGTATGCAGTTTCTGCATAAGGGGCTTCTCGAATGCTCAAGCACTAGGAGGGCATATGAACATCCACAGAAGAGACAGAGCTAAACTCAGACAAAAGCTTATGGAAGATAATAAGGATGATGTTGTTGCTGAGAGTGATTCATCAGAAGTTGTCTCTCTAGACCTTAATGAACAACAACAACAACAAGAAGCTTTGACATGTGATGATCACGATGATCAAGATCAATATGTTGAGAAAGATTTAAGTCCTAAACAGAAATTAGAGTTTTGGGTTCAAGAAAGCAAGCTTGATACTAATGATCGTGGAAAGGGCACGGAGGTTAGCATAGATGGTTCGAGTTCGAGACATCATCGTGAGATTGAAGGATTGGATCTGGAGCTTCGGTTAGGCCAAAGCGTCGTGGAGAAGAAGACAACATAATCTGCGAACGATGAATCATATATTGATTGCATTGTATCATAAGGGAAAACCCTTGAAACATCAAACTCTCGAATCCGTCTATTACAAATAGATTCGTGGCTTAAATTGTATTGAAGGTATGCATTTTGTATCTTATTATTGATACCATTATCATTGTTGTATTGATATTTGTTTCCTTGCTTGTGTTAATTTCACCAACAACTTTTGTAAATGACATACACGTTTCACCAACAACTTTTGTAAATGACATACACGTCCAAACAAACATATATGTAGAAAATATATATTTGGTGTTTGCTTTATAGTTGTTAATATGGAAAATGAATTAGTTTAAATTATTGATCTAGTCATCAGTGTAGAGATTATTCGAACTTTTCACTGAGAATTATTGTTACATATATATATATATATATATATATATATTTTAACATATATTGATAGTGTAGTCCTCTGCAGGTTTTCGAGTAAGCATTTGCCGATAACTCATTTGACTGTTATATTCGAGATCACTGCTGGTCCTCAACATTTAAATATATGTTATCAAATAGTTAAATGGTATAACATTTGCTAGCAAACTTATAAATAAATTCGACCAAATCAAGATCGCTATACTTTTTGTTCATGCATATCATGAGGTTTTTGTTTTCGAGTTCTGAAAACGAATTTGAATCGTATTCGATTATATTTACACTGAAGTTATGTTCAGTTTACGATCACAAACTCATAACCATAAATCAGTAGTTATGTATAAGTAGTCAAACTATATCTGTCTACATGTATTTTAAGTCGTTTGAGCCGCTAAGATTCCATATTCTGAATGATAATAAATGTAAATTGATACATGCACATAATAAATATAATTATATGCTTAAACACGTTAGGATTTAAATTGAAAGGAGCAAAGAGTTCAATTGGAAGGAGGCTGCAACTTGGTGACGCCACCAATGATGGATAACCTCTCAAGTCTTAACCACGTTCTGGTTTGGTTCGAGAGCTTATTTGAGTTCCGGTTTGGATCTAAAATAAGATTGGTTTTATTTGATAATTTCCACCAGAGAGATATGTTTAATTAGATTTTGGATTCGAAATCGATTATACTAAACCGATAATAACGAGGCAGTAACCAACAAAACTACTTTAACCGAACGGTTTGGGTATTTTTCTAAATTGAATTAGGTTGGTTTAGTCAAAATCCGGTTTGATAATGTTTAAAAAAATAAACAAGTGACAACGAAGACCAAGCAGGTCCAGCACACGATCCTAAATCCTGTGCATCGTCTCCATCGCTGGTCTTCCATTATTGACGAATCTCTTTGCTTTTTTTCTTCCTTCTTAAACAAACCCAATTCGATTTCAACGAACGCCTCTCTCTCTCTCTCTCTCTCTCTCACTCTCTTTCCCGATTTGTTCATTTGCCGGAGCTCGTAGTGTAAGCGGATCCGCGGCTGAGAGATGGCTCCTAATGATCCTAAAAAAGCCGGTGGCGGAAGTGGTTTCTTCGCTTCTCTTGCTTCTTCGATCTCCAATTTGGGATCTGCTATGACCAAATCAGTTAATGGGTGAGGTTTTTGAGATCCCTTTTCTTAAACCCGGATCTGCCACTCTGCTAGATTCGTATTTTGGATTTGAAAAATGGAAACTTTTGTTGCTTCTGGATTCCTTTATATCAACTAATTGGGATTTGGTGTCCCAAGTCTGCTTCTTTGGAATTGATATTAGACTAGAGCTTAATTCACACAGATGGAGAGTTTCGATTCACTTGTAAAATGGGCTCTACTTAAAGTTTAGCTCTTTTGAACGATTCGTTATGTTTTGATTTGCTTCACAGTTTGGTTCCCTATGAGGGACTTGAAGTTATCAATCCCGAAGGAAGTACAGATGATGCAGAGGAGGAAGCAAGCAGAGGAAGATGGAAGCAAGAGGTATATATACTTTTCTTTTACCGTTGTTGTTTTTGTTGTTGTCATAACAGTTGATCTAATCATCTGAGAAACATACACAATTCTTAGGATCGAGATGGGTATTGGAAGATGATGCAGAAGTACATAGGATCTGATGTTACATCAATGGTGACCCTTCCTGTGATTATTTTTGAACCAATGACAATGCTCCAGAAAATGGCAGAGGTTTGTGCTCATGATGACAACTGATGTTTAGATCCTGTCTGATATAGTTTCGTAATCCGATGATGCCAATGATATGTGCTCTGTTTCTGATAGTTGATGGAATACTCGCATCTCCTAGACATGGCAGACGAAACTGAGGACCCTTATATGCGCATGGTGTATGCATGTAAGAACATTTTCTCCTCCTTTGATTTTTTCTACGATCAGTATCTTTCCTGTGTGGCTAACTTGTAAGAATTTTGATTTTTAACAGCATCATGGGCTATATCCGTGTATTATGCTTTCCAACGTACCTGGAAACCATTCAATCCAATCCTGGGTGAGACTTATGAGATGGCTAATTACAATGGTGTTAACTTCATATCTGAACAGGTCAGGGACATTTCTTTTGGAACTAAAATAATTGTCAACGTGCTTTTGCTGCCAGCTACTCCCAGATTGTTGATACTAATGGTTTTGTTCGCAGGTCAGCCATCACCCACCAATGAGTGCTGGTCATGCTGAAAATGAGCATTTTACGTATGATTGTACTTCAAAACTGAAAACAAAATTTCTGGGAAATTCCATTGACGTTTACCCAGTAGGAAGGTAATTCTGCAAAACCACAACACGGGGTGCAACTATATATACTGAAATCAGAATCTTCATATGTACATTATCCTGAACCTTAAATCATGAATCTATGGTGCAGGACACGGGTGACACTTAAAAGAGATGGAGTTGTTCTTGACTTGGTACCTCCTCTGACCAAAGTTCACAACCTAATCTTTGGACGAACTTGGGTCGATTCGCCTGGGGAAATGATCATGACAAACCTGACCACCGGTGACAAAGTTGTGCTTTACTTTCAACCATGTGGCTGGTTCGGGTAAGTTTCCTTCACTGCAACCTCATCTTCCTGTATATTTTTCCCATTCAAAGCTGAAGAAATGTGCATTTATGGTCTCAACAGATCTGGTCGATATGAAGTGGATGGATATGTCTATAACGCCTCTGAGGAGCCTAAGATACTCATGACTGGCAAATGGAACGAGTCCATGAGTTATCAGCTGTGTGACGGTGAAGGTGAACCTCTCCCAGGCACCGAACTGAAAGAGGTTCGCTAAATCTCCCTCTGTCATTGACACAATTCTCTTTGCAAAAAATTTAGTTTGATGAAACATTCTAATGCTGTCTTTTGTTAGGTATGGAAACTCGCTGATGTTCCAAAGGATGACAAATACCAATACACACACTTTGCGCACAAGATCAATAGCTTCGACACTGCCCCGAAAAAGCTGTTGCCATCTGATTCACGGTTACGACCTGATAGATACGCACTTGAGATGGGCGACATGTCCAAATCAGGCAATGAGAAAAGCAGGTATGGTAACAAAAACTTGTCCTTTAAGGATCTGAATTTGACCAGATAATAATTTGAGAATTTTCTAATTCTTCTCCCTCCTCTTTGCTATGAAGCATGGAAGAGAGACAGAGAGCTGAAAAGAGAACCCGCGAAGAGAAAGGCCAAGGCTTTACTCCTAAATGGTTCGATGTAACGGATGAAGTCACTGCTACACCATGGGGTGATCTCGAAGTTTACCAATTCAATGGAAAGTACTTGGAGCATCGTGCAGCTGCCGATAACTCTGAAGATAACACTGACCCTAAGTCGATCCAATTCAACCCATGGCAATTCCAAGATCTGTCTACTTAAAATGTATCGCTTCAAACGAAGAAATGTTGTAATTCTTTTTCTCTCGTAGTTGCAACAAACTTTTTTCTACACCTGCTAGCTTTCCCATTCATTGCTTTCTCTAGTGTTAGGGCATATGCAACGTGAGATCTTTGAAGATTGATCTTAGATTGAAAATATTATTAAAATATTATAAGAGCTTTAGTTAAGATCTTTTGTAGAGTAATTGATTAAGGGTAGAACATGTTTAGATCTTAAGAAATAATAATTTAATAATCAAAAACTTTAAATGTTATTTAAAAATTGAATTTTTTTTTTAAAAAAGTAAGTTATATTAAAATAGAGATGGAAATAAAATAAAACACAAAATACTATTCGAATTAGTTATTACACAAAAAAAAAACATTAAATATATAAATGAAAAACATTAAAAACAAACAAACATATTAATTAAAGGTTACAAACATTTTATTTAATTAATACAAAGTTTAAAAAAATTATTCATTACCAAATGTAGTCCATATATTCTCAATCAAATCCTCTTTTAATTGGTGATGTGCTTGTCTATCACGAATTCTTGTGTGACCATCACCTAGACCCTCGAGATTTGTAGGCATTTCGACTGAAAACGTATGAATCTCGTCTTGTTCGAATTCTTCTTTGTCATATAGAGTGTATGAATATCGTTCATCTTCGACAATCATATTATGGAGTATGAGACATGCTCTCATAATATATGCTATTTTACCTTTCGACAAAAACCGACATGGATTTTTAATCATGGCGAATCTAGATTGCAGGACTCCAAATGCACGCTCAACATCTTTTCGTGCACCTTCTTGATGTTCTGCAAACAAACAATGTTTCGGGTGTTGTGGTCGTTGGATGGATTTCACAAATGTCGCCCATTCAGGGTAAATTCCATCCGTCAGATAGTAAGACAAATTATACTCCCTTCCGTTGACATAGTAGTTCATTTGGGGAGCTCGACCGTAAATAATGTCATTAAATACTGGGGATTGAGCAAGAACATTTAAATCGTTACTTGTACCTGGCGCTCCAAAAAAGGCGTGCCATATCCAGAGATCTTGTGAAGCTACCGCCTCCAAGACAATTGTTGGTTTCTCGGTCCCTCGTGAATACATTCCTTTCCAAGCGGTTGGGCAATTCTTCCACTTCCAATGCATGCAGTCGATGCTTCCAACCATCCCAGGAAAACCCCTCTTTTCTCCATAAAAGAGTAGCCTTTCAAGATCCTCTGTTGTGGGTCGACGTAGGTATTCAGTGCCAAACAAATCAACTATTGCAACGACGAAATGTTCCAAACATTTACGTGCCGTCGTTTCACCAATACGTACATATTCGTCAACCGAGTCGGCCGCAACCCCATATGCTAATTGTCGAATTGCTGCAGTACATTGTTGTAGCGGTGATATACCATTCCGGAAAGTGGCATCTTTTTTTGGTTGAAAATATGACACTTCTGCTGCGAGACGATTCACAATACGCAGGAACAATGGCTTGTTCATGCGAAACCTTCTGCGAAATAGGTTCTCCGTGAAAGTCGGATTATCATTGAAGTAATCCTTACACAACTGTTCGTGCCCTTCTTCCCGATTTCTTTCTATATAAGTACGCTTCTTCCTTTCGGTCGGAATAACCTCTTCGATCCCATCACATAGATTATCAATTTGTGCGTCGATATATTGGTCAAAAAAATCATCATCACTACTAGATGAATTATGAAAGTCAAAATTGTTGGAAGACGATGCCATAAAAACGGAATGGTTGAAATGGTTTATATGGTTGAAAATTGTAGAGAAGGAGAGAAGAGAAGTGTTTTTCCAAGACAGGAGAGAAAAGGATTTTTGTAGTGTTTATGAGAGTAATGGGATGTTTGATTTTGATGAGAGAAACGAAGGTAGGAATCACATATATATGTTAAGAAATTTTGTTACTCTTGCTTTAATAATACAAGCCGAACACATGTGACTCTCGCTTTAATACTACTATCCAAACACATGTGACTCTCGCCTACAATCCAAACCTGACATGTGACTCTGTTGACATTACATTTTCGATTACAATTTGCAAAAGTTAGCTTACATACTCGATTGATACCAAAAGGAACAAAGTCATGTGACTCACAATCCAAAAGTTACATTACCAAAGGTCCACAAACTGGTGAATGGGCCTCCAAAGTAACAGCTATCAGCCTCCTCTTCAGAGCCATAGAATCAAGTCCCATGTCTTCTTGAACCTGAAACCAAACCTCAATTAACATAACTGATTCATTATAAATATAAGCATAGAAGTTGAACAAGGTTCAGATAGGTTACATAGAAGTATAACATTTACAAACACACATACTTAGCTAACAGAAACATATGCATAATGAAAAACATAGTTAAATCAGACATATCAGACATAGTTAAATGAACTTAGTTTTTCCCTAATTTAAAACAGCTCGGCCATTAGCTTCTTCTTAAGAACTTTTTCATCTTCATCCAGTGATTCACTCCTTGCAAGGAGAGTCTTGTAAACAGACATCTTTTGGAGTTTTTCCCTCTGAGCCATATCCTTCTCTTTCTTCTCCCAGATGTTATCATCAGTCGCCAAAGCTGGTCCAACCTTGCCTTTCCCTTTGTTCCTCTTGGCTTTCATGGCCTTTATTCCTGGTGGCCTGCTCTCTTCCTCAAAAACATTTGATCCAGCAGATGGTGGAGCATCATCGGCTTTTCTTTTGTTAGAGCTGGTTGTCTTTGGAGTAGGGTTCATAGGCTCCAAGTTCAACCATTTTGGTTCGTAGCGCAGCGCATTCCATGCATACTCCAAACTGAACTTCTTCTTGTACAGCTGATAGTAGAGTTGGTGAGCATTGTTGATAATGTCCAAATCATTCATGCCACTAGCTTTCTCACTAAATGCTTCAGCATAAAATCCACAGAACCTGGCCACCATCTTTTGGATTTTTTGCCATCTTTGCCTACAGTGGTCAGGGAGCCTTGGCTCAGCCCCATTTAGTACATGAGTACTAGAAGCATAATACTCTCCTATGCGCTTCCAAAAGGCCCCTGACCTTTGGTCATTCCCAATTATCACATCCTTTGATGTGTATAACCAACCGCTTATAAGAACAAGATCATCCTGGCTGGTCCAAATCCTTCTCTCCCTTGGTGTCTTTTCTGGTTGACTTGCAGCTTGAACTGGTGGTGAGCTCGGTTGTGAACTAAAAGAAGGGATTTGAGAGAAGGAAATGTTTGCATTGGAAGAAAATTTGCCGTAAGGGAAGTTTTGGAGACTATAGTATGGTTGAGATTGACACTGGTTATTTGGATGGTCATTTGAATCCATATCCGACAGCTTAATAGAAGGAAGAGAAGTAAAAGCTTAGGTAAAAGGAGAGATTCAAAGAGGAGATATGATAGAAGAAAAGAGAATAGGAGAGAATGAATTTAACATACCTCTGGTTTAATAGAGGTAAGTTAAACTAGTAGTTATTAGTCTTAAAGTATCATTACCTAACACAATCAAATCAGGTATAAAGACACTTTCAAACCAAAAAAGCTTTAAAGTAGCAAACTCATAACTAGAGCTAACCTTGAACTACCAAGGTCAGATCAGTATTTATTATAACTTTCCACAACTAGAAAGTTAAACAGACTATACTAGTCTGTTTACAACCAAGAAAGCTCATTCATCACATCCAAAGTAACCAGCCACCATTTCAATCATCAAATAACCAGTAAAACAAGTAAAGGAAAAGTTCAGTAAATTTGAATGTTATCCTCCCAAGTAACACACACTTTCGTTAACTTCAAAGAGGAATAGGTTTCACCACTTATTAACAAAGCACTACTCAACTATCTAAAAACAAGAGACATACAACATACATACTCCAGTTTACTCAATCATCAGAAAACAAGAACAAGAACTCTAAACTAGAAACTTCAGCAGCTAATCACAACTATATTGAGTAGGGAATTACCTTATAGTTGGCAGGAAATGGTTGTTGGTGTTGCTACTCCGATTTAAACTTCAGAGCTACCTCACCTACATGTCTCACAACCAAAACAAACACTTGTGGTCAGTTTAATCAAGCAAAAAAGACACGATACACATAAAAAAACTATAACTCTCACAGTTTAACTCGAATGTCATTGTTATTTGTAAACCTAATTTTCTTCTAATGAGAACAACAAGCAACAAAACCCATATACTAAACCCAAACCTAAACCTACATCGACTTCAAAAAAAATCCTCTAAATCTCAGACTTTCGGATGAAACGATGAAACGATAAATCTCAGACTTTCGGAGAACACGTACCTACGGCTTTGGGAGAAAGAGGAAACGATGAAACACCAGATGGGTGAGGCGAAATCAATCGGAGAAGTCGGATGTGGCCTCGAGATCGTCGGAGATCTTTGTCACCCTAGAGATGGTGTATCAGCAAAAAGAAGAGGAAAATAAAAGGAATAACGAGAAGGGATACCAGAGAACGAAGCAAAGATCGATTAGGCTCCGATTTTACCGGAAATCGGTGCGAAATCGGCCAACTATCGACGACGGCAACAATCGCCGCGAGAGAGGCTGGAGAGAAACAGAACCCTAGTGTTGAAACGATTTTGCCCCAAATGAAAAAATATTTTCGATATCAAAATTCTTACCCAATCCGCGCATGCCACGTCACAGCGAGAGCGGGCCAAGAACTGATCCAGCCCAAGACCACTTCGCCCGATCTTAGCTTTCAAAACCCAAATTCTAGTCATTTTAAAATCTAAGAACATGCTCTCAGATACAGCGATAATTATGGTCTTAGTTTACAACTTCTACTGTTTTTTTTAAATAACTTATTCAAAACCTTTCGTCGTCATAGTTATCTTCTTCTTCTTCTCCTTCTCCTTCTTGGAGCTTGATCTCACTGTCACCAAACCATCTTGGAGGATCGAATCCAGATCCACCAAGAGGATTGCAGCGGCAGAGACGCCAAGTGGTGAGAACAGTGCCTTTGAGAAATCCATATTTCTTGTAAGCTTCCATTGAGTATTCACTGCAAGTCGGAATGTAACGGCAGCTTCTAGGTAACACCGGCGATATCTCTCCTGTTTTTCACCGGAAAACGCTAATTAGCCACCGGAGAAACACTCCTAAAACCAGAATCAGATGATGAATTGCAAAAGGTTGTTTTTTTTTATTACTCTTGTAGAATCTCAGCATTGCTAAAGCTGCTTTGACTCCCACACTCTCCAGCTCTTCCCCATCTGAACTCAACCCAATCAATTATTAGTTACAAAAGAGACAGACTTTATAAGAGAAAGAGAGAGACCTTGAGGAGATTCAGGGTCTGGTTTTGATGGCGTCGATTTCGCAGATAAGCAACGGAGCTGATTCTTGGTGTTCCGAGGTAGATGATCAAACCTCAGGCAGGAATTGTTGAATTCGTGGTGAGGTTTAGGAAGATTAGGACTTTGAGAGAAAGTGAGGGTTGCATAAGGACGGTGGATGGAGACGACGACCGCCATTAAATGCTAAGCTCAAAACCAAGCTTCAAAGCTCTCTAAAAACAGAACAACGACGACGTTTGATTCTATGACCCACCCATTAGCGACTGTTTATATATTTGTATTAAATTAATAATAATTTTATTTCTTTATTACTCAAAAAAAACAAACATTACGCATAGTGTCGGAATCCAGTTTCTGTGGTCAAGAAAGAATATATGACACGTTACAGAATTTTGTACGAACGAAATGCATCTGAATACGGAGCACATCCACAAAATCAAGACTCATAAATACTTCATCTTTCTCTACGCCAAAAAGTAGAAAAAGATGGCGAGCTCACTTCTAAGCTCGTCGCCATTGTCGTCATCTTTCTTACATGTTCCTCGGAAGTTGCTTGTTCATGGCCATTGTCCGAGCCAAACAACTCTCTGGTTCTCTCGGAAACAATCGTCCCTCTGTGTTCGCGCTGCAACACTCCCTCAAGGGGTAATCAGTCTCTTAAACGTACTCTTGAGTCTTTATCCGATAAGAGATTGGAACTTTAGATTTTATCTATCAACTTTTTTTCTATGTTGGGAAGATGATAGTGCCAAAGAAGGAACCCAAATTCAAACCAGCGTTTCTGGGATTTACATACACAGCTGAGATATGGAACTCCAGAGCTTGTATGATTGGTCTCATCGGATCCTTCATTGTTGAGCTGGTGAGTTTCAATGGCTAAGCAATATTTGTAGACAAGATTGACTTAAAACAGAGTTGTCTTTTTTTTTTTTTTTTTCTTCCAGATTCTGAACAAAGGAATACTTCAGTTGATTGGTGTTGATGTTGGAAAAGGGCTTGATCTTCCTCTCTGATTCGGATCTTCTTCTTCGTCTTCCAATCTGGTCATAACAATTTCACAAAACCCTTTTGGCTTTTTTTTCTTATGATATAAAGAGCTTACAGCTATAATTCTGCATAGAAACAAACACATATATTGAGAACTAGGTGTCTGATTCTGATAACAAAATATGAAAGCCTTTAATTATCTTACAATGAGGTCTTTTCACCTGTTAAGTGGTATGTATAATAACCATAATCAGCTTCTGAGTTCTGTATCCACAACCTACCTTCCTTTTCCTTTGTGAGGAATCCAAAGAAAAACAAGGAAAATACCTAACCGATACCATAATTTTCACAAACGGATGCTCTTGATCCAGTTAACAATGATGCGAGAGAGAGAACCTTGTCAAGCAGAGTCTACTACTGATTACGGGCTAGTCTTGGTTTTAAGCTGAGGCGGCTAAAATGCTTGAAAACGGACAAGCCAGAGTGCTGTGAAGTTAAAAATCTGCAGCCTTTTCGATGGAACTCCCCAGTAAGAGAGGAATACATGATTTGGGTCTTGGCTAAGGTTTTGTTTCAGATGAAGTAGGGATTGAATCAAAAGCTGTACGAAAACGCACACCTGAACCGATATGCCTTGACGTAGGACAGAGCCAAGAAAGTATGTTCGGACCCAAAATCTGAAGAAGAAACAGTTAGAACATAACATCGAATAAACCTTCGACTGATACTGACCATCTAAAAATATAGATAAGAATTATTACCAAGGTTAGGTTTTCATATGCGCCAATGTCATATGGATGCTTATAGACTTGCCCACCTTTCTCTGCTAACCACATAGCTCTCACTCCTTCATGGTACTGCTCAACTTCCGCAAAATTGATTAGCAGAGGAACGATATCTGACTAGACCTCAGGAAATCCATAATCTAGCAATTGAAGAAGAGGGAAAGTTTAAGAGAGAAGAAAAAGAACAACCTCGATAGTCGTTTTGTTTTGTAAAATGAGGTAGATGTGCCACCCGAGAAGAACACCTAACGCAATGCTCAATGGGATAAGAAGAAAAGCTGAAATTACCTGGAAAGAAAAACCATAACCATTAGCACAATAATAATTGTTGGTCGTTTGCAAAACAAAAAATCAATCTTAATCATTACATATATAGTTCTTAAATAGCTTCCCATCTCTTCCTCTTCATCTTGAGGTTCAACAGTAAGGCTTCCCACAAGTAAAACCTAAAAATTCAACGAATATATATAAGCTCATTTACTAAGTGGCACCCAGAGAGAGATACACATTGAACTAACGGAAATTAAGAAATGTACCAGGGAGTATACACAAGCAGTCACCGCATAGACAACAAAGACAAAGAAGACCTTGTAGTTAGTGTGTCCTACGCAGTTGTTGATCCAGATACAATGGTGGTCCTTCAAATAAAAAAAAAGACTAGTTTAATACAATATCACATGAGCTTTGCCTGAAACATAAAATGTTCAGTAGAGCATACCATTCTAAGCACACATCTTTTGCAAACTCGACAATGGTGAGCTCGCGGAGGTTTGAAATGTGAACACTTTTGGCAATATCTCAAATCTCCTCCCTGCAAATAACATAACCCAAGTAATGAAACAAAAATTCGTAAGTGGATTTTCCCAGAAAGACCTCAAAACATGAACCCACATATGGAATCTAAAAGCCTCAACTATGAAGATACTAATTAGAACAAGAAAATATGATAACTTGAAAGTTGAAAGTCAAATTCTCCGGGTAACAAAAATCACTAATCTAGCGAATCCATATAGCCAAAAGATGGATTTTTATGTAAATCCCAAAGAGTCAACCTTTAAGGTCCCTCACATAGAATTTACAAGTTAGGAACAAATTTGATCACTTAAAAGTTCTATAGCAAGCCAACAAAATATCTCACATGGAGTCAACAATCTACAAAAATCCCCATTCTAGTCAATCCTAGAACCTAAACATTGAATTGATATGTACAGAAAATGACTACACACCATGGACTAACCAGATCCTCAGAGAATAAAAAAAAACAACATTATCCAAATATGGTAACAGAGATAATGGCAAATCTCTCTGACATTGGAATGAACTAAACTGATCATAATAATAATAATATCCAAATTCCAAAATAATACTGACAAATCTCAGAATTGACTATTGAGCACCAAGAAAGAGCTAAATGGAAGAGAAAGAGATGACCTTGCGCTTAATCTCGTGAACAGGACTCTCCGGATCTTCAACATCTGGCATGTAATTGAGTGGAACCCGACCCGGATCCCTGAAAACCGCGATGGAGTAATTGTATACACACATCAGAGCCAAAGCGGTGAACACGGCGGCGTTGGCTATTCCGGGAGACGAAGTGAGGCTGAACCACCGATCGATGAAAGTGAAAACCGAGGCAAAGTAGATGAAACCGATCACCAACATCACCACCGTGACGGGGAGAGAGAATCCGACTCCTTTCCGTTTCATTTTTTTTTTGGGAGCACCGGCGTCGAGACGACGGCGTCTCCGGCGAGTGGATTTTTAATTTAAATTATTTCTTCGTTTTCTCGATTGTTGTTGTTGTTGGAGTACGTCTGAAGTTGTCGACGATTTTGGAGATCTCTAATTGTCTCTCGAACTCGAAGCTCCCCACCTAATTACAATGATCCCTTCTTTATTATATTATTTCGTATTTTCCCCATTTGTTTTTAATTTAGAGAAATTGTTAAAAATGCCCCTTTTTCAATACCCCTTTTCAAAAATGCCCCCTTTGAGAGTCTATTTTTAAGTTTGCCCTCTTTTAATTTTTAATGACCATTTTACCCTTATTTGAAACAAAATTAGATTGTTTTCAATATTTCTCTTCGTTTCCAATATTGATTATTATCAACTTCATGGACATGGTACAATCTCATAGTTCTCTAATCGCACTTTATACATGTCACACCCACAATTGTTTGGTATATTCTT